GGTGGGGGGTTGTCAGTTTTCTCCTCTTAAAAAAACATAAGAGGGAGATCATTTTTGTTTACAATCTGTCCCACCTCCATACTACTTGGTTACAGAGCCAATCATATGTGCGGCTGCAAGGTTGCCAAGTCTGTGCCAGCAACTGCTTCTGTGTCAGCATTTGTACTTCGACACTGGCCGGCAAAAAGCAGCATCGCTGTGGAAAGGATGGAGGCCAGTAAAGGGAGCGACCCAGAAGCTAAAAATATAAGCAAAAGAAAGTGTAAACAATGTTTGTTTTATTTTATATTGGGCAAAGAAAGCTAAAGGCTAACATTGAGCCCCATACCCACTTCATACCGCCATCACATAAGGTTTTGTTAAAAAGGACATGATTGCGCCATGTTACTGCCACACTCTGACCACTTAGGCCTAATTTATACTTCTCCGTCTGCGTTGGGACGGACGCACGCAACGCCATTATTCGTCCTTTTGAGGGCTCTCCGACAGGTTCGCAAGGACAAACGAAGTCAAGCACTCTTTTCTAAACATTTGTCCGTCGAGACGGAGAACGCAAGCTTGTGATTGGTCAGGAGGCCGCTGTCGTCTACAGCGCCGCCATTGCACCCTCAAAAACATAAAGAGAGCCAAGGATATCTAGCAGCAGACATGGGGCAGCTTAAAGAATACCTCGCGGAGAAACTCTAAAAATATGAACATTTTATTCCCCCATGACTGGAGGAGTGAAAGGATCCGCAGCAAGCGTTTTATTCATGGACGGAAATGACGAGAACCATAGGTTTAGAGGTGGCGAGCGCATGAAGAGGTGGAGGAGGATGAGTGACAAATTTGTCTGTTTTTAAATGTCTCTTAAATACAAAATACACAATATAAACACACTATCTTGAACCGGATACATGACAGGATACCACAGAACAGCGCTACGCCCTCTGCTGTCCTGGTGGGGAATTGCTTTGGAACAATCCCAGGAGGTGGAGAAGTATGAGGGCAAATAGTCTCGGTCCATTCGTGCGTGTCTCTCCCTGGTGAAGCTGATGGAGAAGTATATATTAGGCTTTATAAACGACCCAAGGCTCCCTCATGCCGGCTCAACGTTGCGGAAAATTGGCGGCATTGTATTGTAAAAAATGCTAGTATGACTCGTCATTTAGATTCTTTTAGTGCTGATCTGTAACTGGCAATAGTTACTCAGAGCAGGCTCGTTTGTTTTGATACATCTACAACAGTACATACATTTGACCACAGGATGTCATTTTTATTTGATACACATTGAAGTACAAGACAGCTAAATGGTATTGTATTGAAGCCTCTTTTAGAAAACAATGTCGCCAATTTGCCGCAATGCTGAGCTGTCATCTGGGAGCCTTTGGTTGTTTATAAGTGGTCAGACCGTGCGGCAATGTGGTGCAATCGTGTCTTTTACAAAAGATTAGGCGATGGCGGTATAAAGGGTGTATGGGGGCGGTCTCTGCTCTGCCGTGGACTTTCATTTATCGTGGACATAACTTATCACCCAAACTTATCGCCCTTGTTCACTTTCATTTTCAATATAGTTGCCGGCTGGAGCTCGGCAGTAACTCCCCACATTATCATGACACCTCCCTTTGTTTTCCAAGGCGTAAAATGCATTCACAAGTCCAGCATTGCAGTAATATACAAAGTAATTACCAAGTGTAACGGCACAAATGGCGCGAAATTCCCACAATGCCATGTCGCCACGGCGCGTTTACAAGACACATCGTGGCAGCAGTATTATGCTGATTTGCTGGCATGGTGTGCCTTCTAAAAAGGGCTGTGGAGAGTTGAAAGTGTCCAGTTCAGTCCAAGATACAAAAATATCAAGAAATAAAAAGAACTAATTATACAACTGAAATAAACAAATAATTGCACCAATTTATTCCCAATTTTTGTAGTTGTACATGCATTTTATGAAGTGAAAAAGGTAAAGTAAAATAAAATGTCATTAACAACAAACATTTATTGTAGAGCCTGGAAGAGTAGCTTAATCTAAAACATGTTGATTTGTGTTAGGTCTCCGGGAAGGTTTTTGTAGATTAATATGTTGAAGTTGTAAGTTGTTGCTGAATACTGAAGTGAATTGTGACCGTTTTCACTGGCTTTACTTTAATAAGTCTAACTTGATGAGATGTCTAGTTGGTCATTTCTGATTTATTACAAACGCAACGTTCCCAAACACTGTATTCGGTTACAAAGAGAAAGTATTCCCAACAGGTCGCCTGTTTGTCTTTGCCTGTTTACTTACATTTAAAGAGGGGGATCAACGCCATCATTCATCTTTCATGGCAGGTTTTTCCTCTTTACAGACTTTAGATGTCCGCACCCCTAAATCTGACCGCTGATGCAAGGTTTTTATGAGACAATCAGAGGCAGGCTCTGAAACATACACCCACTTGCAGAGGCCATAATTGTAAATCATCTACTTGCTGGCCATGAATTCAGTCATTTCTTCAACTCTTTAACCTTCTAACTGCTCCTGTTTTACAGAGCTGACCACAAACTGGCTCAAAATCCTTGTCCAATCATATGTTTGGGCCAGTTAATCACATGACACAGACATGTCCTTTAAAAGCAGCTCACTGGAGAATCAGACAAACTAAGTATTCATTTATTATTCACATGGCAGACATAAGGGAGATAATAAGAGCAATTTAGCTGATTTTCTAAAGTTCATTATAAAGGAATATAAAGTTGCTCTCTGGATCATTTCTTTTATCTGATGGCACCATCCAGTGGCTGACGGGCTCATCACATTGTTTTACTTCCAACGCCTCTTGTTCACAAACTCGTTGTTTTAGCCAACAAAACAGATAAAACACGTTGTTTTACAATTATTATGCTCATGTTGTGTTGTGTTTTCATATATTTTTATTTGAAATACGTGCTTGTCCATGAGAAAGGTCGCCAACTCTGCATCAATCAAGATACGTCTTTAAACGCTGGAGCACACTCTGATTGACGTCTGTGTGTAAGCGGTAGTCTAACGCTATTGGTTAGTGCTGACCGGCGCGCCGATCATATTGCATTGAGCTCTATTGTACAGGGGGCGGGATTAGCAAAAACAAAAAAGACATGTTGCCTAAATCACAATACAGGACAATCACTTTTATGGGTTTCTGACAAAACAATCATAGTTCCTGAAAAGATAAAACTACAAATAGGATCTTTAAAAGATTCATTTCCTTGGAAAGCATTAATGCAGCACAATTGTGAGACTTCATGTAATGAAATGTTGACTTGTTCAGAGCTTACCTGTAGATTAAAGGATATTATAACTGTCTGATCAGGAATAGGGGGTGTGTATTGGCAAGGATCTGATGATACGACATAAATCTGGTTTCAATGCCCATAACAACTCAGGCTCTTTTGGCGGAGCACTGTTGCCCCACAGAAAGAAGGTTGCAGTTCGAGACTCAGCTTCGGCCTTTCCGCATGTCCTCTCCATGCATGCGTGGGTTTTCCTACTCCGGTTTTCCCCACAGGGGTTTGTCCTATAGGTTAAAAATTGTATGTCGCTTTAAAGCATCTGCCAAATAAATAAACATAAATCACAAAATAGGGGAGACCATACCCTATATTACGAGACTAAAAGCCAGACGATGTTTGCAATTTTTAAGACTGAGTTTAATTGGAAAATAAACCAGATGCATTTAAATAGGGCTGAACAATTTTAGGAAAAGATGAAACTGCGATTTAGGCTGCGCAGTGGTTAGAGCTGTTGCCTTGTAGCAAGAAGGTCCTGGGTTCGCTTCCCGGCCTGGGATCTTTCTGCATGGAGTTTGCATGTTCTCCCTGTGCATGCGTGGGTTCTCTCCGGGTACTCTGGCTTCCTCCCACAGTCCAACAACATGACTGTTAGGTTAACTGGTCTGTCCAAATTGTCCTTAGGTGTGTGTGTGTGTGTGTGTGTGTGCATGATTGTTTATCCTGTGTGTCTCTGTGTTGCCCTGCGATGGACTGGCTCTCTGTCCAGGATGTACCCCGCCTGATTGCCCGTTGACCGCTGGAGATACCCCCCCCGCGACCCTGCGTGGACAAAGCGGGTTCAGAAAATGGATGGATGGCTGGAAATCGCAGTTTTTTTTTTTCAGGAGAATTTGCAATTTAAGTTCGATTTCCGATTTTCTTCAAATCAAGGTTCAACACATTATTAACATTATATTCATATAAATCATAGCATAAAATATTGAAATTTTCTTACATCCCTAGTCCGAACTGGAATTAAGCTTCAGAGGAAAGTGCTGCTTGACCTGAGTTAAGAATGCAGTCATAACTGCCCAGTAAATATGTCTCTAACTTGTGTCTTTCCAACACAACAATTATTCTTTATTTACTTACTGTAAAATCTGAAAAGTCACTTGAAGCAGGGCCACATAATGACAGCAACAGAGCAGGCTCAGACACACTTCATCCACCCAGGGGTCCCACGCCTCCCAGGCCCTCTCATTAAAGCTAAAAGAGGATCTTTCTGGCACAGGATGCTCTTTGTCCACAGTCTGGATGCCATAGCTGTTGTGGAAATCAAACAAATGCCGGTTGATCGCCTGCTGCTTAGTTTGATGGCTTATTTTTTGGCGGTGGTGGTGGTGGTGGGTGGTGGGGGGGGGAGGGGGGGGGGGTTGCCATGACCATGCTGTAAAGTAGAGGATTTTATCGCAGTTATATTTATGTTTATTTATTTGGCAGATGCTTTTATCCAAAGTGATGTACGATTAGTAGTTACATCATGGAAGCATGGAATGGTTGTATTTTCTCACCATTAAACCATCATTTGTAGCATAATATATACAGATTTGGTTATTACCTCTAAAGTAACTACTGTTTTTTAGTGTTAGTTGATGATGTATGTAGTCTGTTAACTCCTTAAAAGATTTTTGCTTTAAATTTCAAAAGTTTCTTTTAGTAATGTTTCTTTCTTCAATTAATTTAATGCAAGACTTTGTAGTTGAGATAAACTCACCTCTACCTATGTCAATCTTTAGATTTACAGCCAACCAGTTCACAGTGGTGGGGTCCAGCATGCTTCTGAGACTTTAGAGGAGCACAACCAGGTTCAGAGTCTTCTGCCAGAGCCCCACAACCAGCAGAAGAGGTGGTCTCACTCCCAGCATCGCTCTGTTGGTGTTCTTCCCCAGCCTGAACCAGAGGAGACCAAACCCTTTATCTTCGACCTAAAGAACTTTCCAGACCTAGCCAATGCGGACATCAATTCCCAGAACCCCAACATACAGGCAAGTGGGAGAAAAGGACCCAACTTTTTTTTAAATTTTTTATTGTATTTTAGAGCATGTACCAATGTGAAAGGCTTTAAATGCCCGCACCTTAAAACACAACTGTTTTTTTTTCATTTAGAACCAGGTGATATGGGGGACATGGCATTATTAAAAATCTGTTGCAACATTTACGGAACAGTTGAATAGATTTTTTTAATGCAACTTACTATTAAAGTCTCTCAATCATCTACCAACTTATTTGAAATGTGGTCACCAATTCCTTCCCAAAACATTTCCCTTTCTGACTCCTGAAAACTGAACAGAGAAAGGTTTCAGATAACCACTCAGACTCTTGGGAGAAAACCTTTACCTACATTTTTAAAACATGTTCAACATTTCACTGACAGAGGAGTGTGACCCTGCAACCCTTCACCAGACATTTTTTTAAACTTGCACAGAAAGCTGTTTGCATTAGCAACCCGGTGAGATACAGAGTTTATTAATAGGTCCTTAATAGCCAGGGGCGCCTCCAGGACATTTTAATAGGGGTGGCCAGAAGAAATATTTGCGATGGGACACCAAATTGGTCCTTGTTGCAACTCTGGGAGAGATTAGCCTGTGGCGATGTATTGCATTGCTCCTTAATTTCTTTTTATTTAAAAAAAAACCCAGTATGTATCCAAAATATTTAACTAAAATTTTACAAACACAAACATTTCAGAAAAATAAATTTCAGTTATTTAAAGTGTTATTTCAAATGTTATTTTAAAATGCTTTTTTTATTTAATTCACCTGTTGCTGTGTTCACAAAAAACTATGGAGATAAAAATGTTTTTAGAATGGTGAGCAGCAGAAACATGTATTTTTTTTATTCTGAATATTTCTTTACTCATTAATTGTATTATTTTTATTTAGCTTTACAATTATGTCTTGAATGAATAAGATCAATTTATGGTTTAAGTGAACATTAATATGATTTATGATTTAATAGCAATTTATTAACAATGGCTTTTGCGGGGGGCGCATTTTCTAGGGGGTGGCCATGGCCACCCCTGGCCACCCCTTGGGGGTGCCATTGTTTATACCCTGTTGGTTGACAACAAGAACTTTGTAGATTGCTGTGGCTGTTGTGTGTGTAGAGGGTGTGTTCAAAACCTATTTAGCTGTCTCAAATGCGTCAAACCAACACTGACAAACTGCAAAAAATTCTACAAGATTGACTGGGTTACATTCCCTGTTAGTGGTCATAATATTGTGGCTAATTGGTGAATGTTTACATCATGCTCAGAGGGTGATTAAATCTTTTATGAGTTTTCCTTGTAGCATATAAACAAGGCACTGAGGATATGTTAAGTTTAAAGTAAACAAGATGAGTTTTCATACTGTAGCGTCTCGGATGAGTCATGTCGATTTAATGAGAGGTACTTATCCAGAATAAAGGTTCACATTCTCCGCCTGATTGTTTTGTTCACTGAATGTTCATTTTCACTCTTTGACTTAGAACTGCGAAAAGAGTGGAGTCACTAAAGTGTCATCTGAGGAGAGATATTAAGTCAAGTGTTAAAACAAACTTGACTAACTTTTTGGTTGCTTTTTTGTTGTCGATGTACTTTTACTTATATGAAAAAAAATGTTTTTCAATCTTGAAATTAATTATTAAGTCAGGAAAGAAGATGTCCATGTTACTTGGTGTGTCTAAATTATTATTAATTTTGTTGTGTTTAGGTCACCATAGAGGTGGTGGATGACCCTCAGATGGAGGTAGAAATGGACCTGGCTAATGAAAAAGACTGGCTACCCCCTTCCTCCTCCTCCCCTTCCTCCACTGTAGACTGGCTCGGAGGAAAGAAGCTTTTCTGGCCGCTGTTTTGGAGTTACACTGACTCTGATTCCAGTGAAGGCAGCAACAGTCGGTTAGGTGTAGAGGAAGCTGGTGAGGAGGGGGAGGAAGATTACACTTTGGATTATGGCAGTGAAGAGCCCTTACCCAGTGGGGTGGGTGGAGAGTGGGACAACCATTGGAACGAAGGTTGGGATCGCATGCAGACTTACTATGGTACGTTTCATCAAATGGCCTGTCTTTTGTCTACCAGCAATTATTTTCTGTTCAACAATTTATAATGTGGGAAAACGAGTAAAGAGTAAAGAGTAAATATTTCACGATTGGTAGCTTGTCAAGTCATCCTAAATACATCATATTGGAATATCATGACAAAGAAGATTTATTTCATTAATTCCATTCAGAAAGGGAAACTTGTATATTAAATGAATGAATTACAGACAAACATATATTTAAAACGTTTATTTTGTTAATTTTGATGATTATGACTGACAACTAATGAAAATCCCATATTCAGTATCTCAGAATATAAGAATAGCAATTAAGACCAATGTATAAAAAAGGAATTTAGAAATGTTGGTCAACTGAAAAGTATGAACATGTTCAGTGCGCCATATTTGGTTGGGGCTCCTTTGGCCTGGATTACTGCAGCAGTGCGGGGTGGCATGGAGTCGACCAGTCTGTGGCACAGATCAGGTGTTATGAGAGCCCGTGTTACTCTGATAGTGGCCTTCAGCTCTTCTTAATTGTTGGGTCTCCTGAACATTCGCTACCACAAACTCCTTCTAGCCCAACCATCTCAAGCTCTACTGCTTCATTTTCCTCTCTTTCCCCTCTCACTGAGAACCGTATGTCCAAGCTTCTCATGTGCAGCCGCCCTTCTACATGCCCACTTGACCCCATTCTGACTAAGCTGCTCCAAGTTATTGCTCCTACAGTAGCCGCAGCAGTCACACATGTGATCAACGCTTCACTGACATCCGGTACATTTCCCACCTCTCTCAAGCATGCTCAGGTTAAACGCTGCTAAAAAAAAAACCATCTCTTCCTCCAAATCACGTGGAGAACTACCGACCTATCTCTCTCCTCCATTTTCTGTCCAAAATCATTCAAGCAGATCACAGAATACCTCACAAAACTGTCTGCTTGACCCTTACCAGTCTGGGTTCTAAAAGGGCCACTCCACTGAAACTGCTCTGTTAGCAGTGACGGAATCCTTAAAAGAAGCTAGAGCGACTGCCAAACCCTCAGTGCTTTTCCTGCTCGACTTATCAGCTGCATTTGACACTGTCAACCATGGCTTCCTTTTGTCCACACTCTCTAGCATGGGCATTACAGAGAAAGCACACGCCTGGTTTGAATCGTACCTCACAGGACGATCATTCAGTGTATCTTGGCTTGGACAATCCTCTACCGTGCACCATCTTGCCACAGGAGTCCCCCAGGCTTTTGTACTAGGACCTCTTCTCTTTGCCATATACACCACCTCACGTGCTATGCAGACGACACCTAGCTCTATCTGTCATTTCCATCGGACGACCACACTGTGTCTGCACGAATATCAAACTGTCTCTCTGACATATCAAAATGGATGAAATCCCACCATCTCCAGCTCAACCTCTCTAAAACTGAACTACTTGTCATCCCAGCAAAACCATCCATACAGCACAATATCTCAATCCAAAATGACTTCCTATCTCTGGCTCCTTCAAAGGCAGTTCGAAATCTGGGTGTTGTGATTGATGAACACCTGACCTTTAAAGATCATGTTGCCTCAGTTGCTCGTTCATGCCGCTTTGCGCTGTATAACATACGAAAGATCAGACCATACCTAACACAACATGCCACCCAGCTCCTGGTGCAATCTACTGTCATCTCCCACCTCAATTACTGCAATGCCCTTCTAACTGGTCTTCCAGGCTGTACTGTGAGACCTCTTCAAATGGTCCAGAATGCAGCGGTGCGTCTGGTCTTCAATCAGCCAAAAAGAGCACACGTCACCCCTCTGTTCATTAAGCTCCACTGGCTACCGCTAGCAGCACGCATCAAATTCAAATTGCTAACACTAGCATACAAAGTCTGAGACGGTACAGCTCCCATCTACCTGAATCCTCTTGCAAAGGCTTACGTCTCGGCCCGGCCGCTCCGGTCATCACAGGATCATCGGCTAGCAGTGCCTACGCCACGCTCAGGACAATCCAGGCTCTTCTCATGCATCATTCCACAAAGTGGAATGACCTTCCAAGCACTACCAGAACAGCGGCTTCCTTTTCAATTTTCAAGAAACTCCTGAAGACCCTGCTCTTCAGAGAGCATCTTCTAAACTAGCACCCTCCCTGCACCCGTCCCCTCTCTCTACTGTCCACTCCTTGTTCCCTCCTCTCCATGATTGATGTCAATGTTGTTGTTGATGATGTTGTTGTTAGCTTCAAGGGCAACATGCCGATTATCATTTGTAAGTCACTTTGGACAAAAGCGTCTGCTAAATACATAAACACACACACACACACACACACACACACACACACACACACACACACACACACACACACACACACACACACACACACACACATATATAAAATCAAACACCCTCTCCCCAAACATGGCTCTTGCATGCTGTAAGTCTTCTGGAGCCCAGATCAATATATTGGGATGTATTTTAGAGGAGTAAGGCTGCAGCACACTGGTGGTCATTTCTTACCAGAAAAAGAAGTATCTATAATATTGGGTCTTAACTGGGTTAAATACTGGTGGAGTTTACACGGAATGCAACTCCCAAATAACAAAAAAACAAAAAACAAAACATGAGCCTCAGAAAAAAAAATCTATAAATGCTAAAAGGAGGCAAACCTGCTAAGGTCCTTGACCAAAACCATGTTATTTAGTGGTGATTTTGTTTGATTTGATGAAATTTTAGCTCAAAACCGCTGCCAGGTGTTAAAATGACAGTACTCACTGTGAGCTGCTTTTTGCCTCTTCGTCTGCAGCGCGCTGTCTCCATGACTGCCATTGGTCAATGACGACATGTGACTGACAAACTAGAACAAAGCTCGTTCGTGAACAAGATGAATCACTGCACTTTTCTCTGATTTATTCCAATAAAGAGTGATTGAAACACAACAGAATCAGTAAAAAAGAAATCAAGGAATCTAATTGATCAAACCATTCGAATCATATGATGGTTCGTTTCAGCCCTACTATTGAGGCTACAACGGAGTGTGGCTAGACCAACCTGTAGAGCAAATTCTTTTGCTACTACTATGGTTTGTCTGGATTTTTAGGCTGCACGATTGGCCTTATCAGTGACTGATGAATCTGATACCCGTCATTCCCAAGATGCAATAAAAATATCTTTAAAAATCAGTTAACACACAATCACAATCATTGAGCACTTATTTAAACCTTGCAATAACAGAAAACTTCATTACAGAAGTTTTTACCCACAAAATCAAAATTTAAAGTAAACCAAAAACTGAAAATAAAAGTATTCTGACAATTAAAGTTGTTTGAGATACTTTGGTATCAAATACAAAATATAAATCTGCATTCGTTCTCAAAAACAGAATCGGTGCATCTGTAGTACAGCAGCTGAGGGAGCTGGTGTGAGAACATAACAAATGCTTGTGAGCGACTGAACAACTTCTACGGAATGCTCGACTATCACAGAGAGCCAAATGATGCCAGCATACGAGGAAGCATGAGCACTCGACCATAAAGGCATTGTGAGCTACGGTTGCTTTGAAGTCGACACTGCCGTGCTGGTCGCAGAGGCCCGCCTTTTGAAGATGGACTTGATGCGCTCGCTAATGGCAGCATGAGGCCAGACGGCACTGTTCCCTGGGACAAAACATCCCTCTGCTTGTGGACAATTAGAGGGCAGATTGGGAACGCAGAATGACAGGGACTATTTGGCTGTCTCTTTCATCCTTCTAGACCCCCCCTCTACTAGACCCTGATCGCCCTCGCCGTCCTGTGCGGCTCAGCCTTTTAAGTGTTCAGGAATGTAGGGAGACTGTAAAGGGCACTTGTGTCTCCGACTGCACAGATGATGTATTCAGTGGTAAAAATAGAGAAAAATGTGAGTGAAAGAACATTTCAGTCATTGAGAGAAAGAAAGATTATTATAGAAGAGTCATGAACTCAGTTTAATGTGCTAATATAACTCTAAAAACGTTTCCAATAAATCAGATCGTTATTTGTTGTGATGGATTTAAAGGGGAACCCCATGGTTGCTGGTGTCTTAACGTTATTTTCCTTCTTTATAAATAAAGACGACTTGTCGAAGAGCAACATTGTCTATCAAATGGTCACATATAACGTCTCTGTGAACAGAAAGCAAGGATGCCAACCTTAGCTTCTTCTGTAATTACAGCTCTCCTGAGACTTCATAATCGCACGTCCACATGGCGAGTTGGCATTGCCCACAAAGTAAAATTGGGTGCTTGCTACACCCAAGCTGGTATTTCTGCACCCACCTCGCCTTTAATCAGGAATGACTTGTTTTTAGTGTTATTAACACCACAAGGAAATATGGTGCGGAGGCGGACAGCCACAGCACAGCATCTCTCCCTCTAATTTTACTGGAGTCTGATTAAAAAGAGTGTAGCGCGTCAGATGGGAAAAAAGTTAAGCCAGGGGAAAATTGTCATTTGTATAAACTGAGACATTTCGGAAACTTTGAGAGCTTGTTCTGGATTAGACAGTTGAAGTACACAAATCCTTGTCAAAACAAAAGTTTAGTTATGTTGTCTTTGTTTTACACTAATCTAATCAGAGTATAGAGCTGGCTTTGAACTGCGTTGGATAAACAAGAGCTTTAGAGTCAGCGCTGATTCTGATACAGTTTTCTCTCCACAGAGAAAGACACAGATGAGTGGACTCCTTGGTCTCCATGCTCAGTGACATGTGGACACGGGGAAAGGAAGAGGACAAAGTCTTGTGGCTACTCCTGCACTCTGACTGAAGCTTCTAAATGTGACCTGGATCCTTGTCCTGGTTAGAATCGGCCTCTATCTTAATAACCGTAATGCTTTTAGACTGGTTTACCATCTAATTTCTACTGAAACCCATCTACTCATTTGCTTTTCGCAGGTGATGTCAACACCATGGTAGAACCTTTCCCTTTTGAGATGGAGAATGGCACAGAACCCTTTGGAACAGGTGAGTCTTTTCAGATTTTAACAATGTACAATATAGTAGTTTCATTGTACTTTGTAATTTGCAATTTAAATCTTTTTTGGAATTGTCAACTAGTTAATAGACATGGTTTTGTTATTAGACCTTTGGCTTTGAGATGCTAGAAGCCTTATTAGAGGTGTAGAACACTCATTTAATAAATACATTTGCAGTGGTCTGTAGTACTCTGGGGAAAAAGCTTCATTGCACCAGTTTCAGGAACTAAAAATGGCCAGATCAGAGGAGAGCTTCAGATGGCAGGATTTGGAGTTTTATTTGCTGATATTTGGACATCTCACCTCGAATTGGATAACAGCAACAAGGATGTTTAACCTCCACAAACAACACAAGGAGGAGTTCTGCCATGTTGTTGAGTTGCTAATGCTAACAGTTAGCTTCTACTAGCTTAGATGTTCTAAGCTGCAGGGCTGCCAACTCTAACGCATCTGACCCCCTTCACTCACTCTCACTATCACGCCACACCTCCAATGTCTCACTCTGAAAAAGCACCCCCCCCCCCCCCCCCCTCATGCATGGAAAACTTAAAGTTGGCAGCCCTGTTGCTGTTTCCTGGACGCTAAACCAACAACCTTCCCCGACGTGAGTCAAAATGGATGAGTCCATGATTGTTAAATAACAGTGTGATGTAGATCTGTCCGACTTTTCAAACCCTAGAGTTTCACCGTCTATTTTCAATTAGAAGCTAAATGCAGGATATATGTGTAGGAGACTCTTTTCATGTTCAGCCTGCATGAAAAACTCAGAGTGACTGATAATAATTAGAAACAATCATTAAAAAACAGGTTTTCAGTGTTCCACACATGTAAAAAAAGGACAATATGGGCTTTACTGTTAATATATTCTGTTAAATACTTTCAAATGTGTTAAATACATTTTAAAACAGGCTGCTCACCGAAGACACGTGCCTGAGTCATGTAAAACAAACAAGGGCATTTGCTACAATGATGCAGGAAAAGAGAAACGTCGGAAATACTATTAAAAACAGAAAAAGCTAAATGTAGGTTTTTTAATATTTTCTTTTACAAATCCGATCCAGGTCACTGAAAGGGCTCATGTCTGACTTTCCCTTTGGGACCTAAAATGACTAAATCCATCTCCTCCCATTACAACATGTCTCTAGTAAGCCGTAGGACTCCATGCTAACACCTGCTCTTTCTGTCACCGGCGTACCGTGAACTTTTTAGGACACATTTAGAATCCCTTTGTCCTCTTTCCCAGCAGATGTGGACAGCTGTGAGAAATGGCTCAATTGCAAGAGCGAGTTCCTCCAGAGGTATCTGCACCAGGTTCTGTCTGAGCTCCCCAGCTGCCCCTGCTCCTACCCGTCCGAGGTGGCGTACACTGTGGTCAGCCTGCACGACGACACTCACGGCCAGCCGTTTCGCTGGCGGGACGCCAGCAGCCCCAAGGAGCGTCTGGATATCTACAAGCCCTCGGCACGCAGCTGCATTCGCTCTGCGCTCTCCGGCGACTCATCCACTCTCGCAGCGCAGCACTGTTGTTACGACGAGTTTGGACGGCTGATCACGCGAGGGAAAGGCGCGGGCACGCCTAACCTCATCAGTGCGGAGTTCTCCCACGAACTGCACTTCAAAGTGGATGTGCTGCCATGGATCCTGTGCAAGGGGGACTGGAGTCGCTTCCACGAAGTGCGGCCGCCAAACAACGGATTGAGCTGCCCAGAAAACCCCCATGAAGACGTGTTTATGAATGAACTCGAGGAGGCCAGGGAGTACTGAGGCATCACAGCCAAAAAACGACCATGTGTCAGCCAGAAAGTCAGAGGACACAATCATGATTTTAACTGAAGATATCACTTTAAACCTCCATATCAGCTGTCAAGCATGCACAGGAAACTCAGAGGTAATCTATAATTGTGATTGTGAGTTTTGTGGTATAGTCGGGTTATCTAATTTTATAACTAAACAATCCAAGCAAATGGATGGGATGTTGTCTCACTGATTGCCAACCTCTTACTCATCTGGTATTATATCACATTTTAATTCCTAAACATTCCTGGGTGAATGTAACCATTAAGTCCACCATAACTGGCTTCTGTTTTGCATTTTGAAGCGTTTTAATTGACAAAAGCAACACACGGTCTACATTCAGGTCATGTTTTCCTTCATTTTTACAGTAGAAAGTGCTATGTGAGTAAGGGTTGGTGATTTTTAGGACAATGACACAGCTACAGGCAGGATCCAGTGGACAAATATCGAATAATGCTGCTACAGTATATGCAAAAGACCCAAAATGCTTCACGCATTTACTTTAATGCACATCACAGCCAGAGCTGTCCAGTGTTACGGGCATACGGCTTTACACAACCCTGCTGTCCTCAGCAGACCTTCTAGGGAAAACAAAAAAGAGGTTAATGAGGTGGTAATGATTCAGAACAAAAGCAAATCTGATTTTAAATATTTCATCACACGGGTTGATTTGTTTGCTCGCATTTTCCTTGTGTGATCTGGGTGCCAAAGAGATACAAATCTAACTGTTGGTGCCAGTATGAATCCAGCCTCCACATATCTCCAGAGCAGATGTAGGAAAAACAGAGATTAGATTTCACTCAAAGATGTGTCTGTACAATGTTCTCAGGGGGACTAACTCACTATGACAAACACATTAGTTTTTTTTACCTCGTCAGCAGAGCACTTCTGGGTCCTGTACAAATGTGTTGGGGTAAACGTTAGTGGGAGTTTACTAGCTGTGTAAAACAGATTGAAAGTGAGGAACAGATGATGTTTTGTGCGGTTTTTAAAAGCTGATCAAACACTTAAAAGCAAACGGTTGATGTATATGGTAAGAAGTTGCTCTCAGGCTGTTTATGCACAGAACTAGACTGGATAGAAAGGACATTCCCTCCGATAGAAAGTAATTGAGTTGGTAGCTGTTCTAATTAAGAATGTGTGTACCAGCAGCAGGACTTAGTTGATTGGACCAAATTCTTTAAAGAGCAAGTCACCCCCAAATCCACTTTTTTGGCTGATAATCTATGTAAATGTTTATGTATTTAGCAGACGAGTGTCTGTAAATGAGTGTCTAATTGTGCTGTAGACACATGTAGTCAGTAATTTGGAACTTTAGTGCATCTTAGTTAAGTTTTTAAATATTCTGCCTAAAGCTGTCAGTGTTGCGCCCTTTTCAGGCAAAAACTCCGCACTACATTTGATTTTAAATCTGCTATCGCTATTGGCTAAGAGGTACTCTATGACGTTAGCTGGTACCATATGATGTCACAATGTCGCTGTGAGCCAGTGTGTGTATTTGTTAGCGACGCCACCCTCTTGGTCTGCCAGGAACGCCTCCTTGTAGCGCATTTTTCAAACAGGAAATGGGAGTGGAGTAAGAATCTGGTAGGGGTGACTTGCTCTTTAAGTTTTTGATATCACGTTTGTTATGAGGATTTTAAAAGGCCAGAGTTATTACACAGGCAGATGGCCTCAGTCACCTTAGGCAAAATAATCCTAGTAAGTTCAAACAAAGGCATCTGAACTTATTTTAAAACTCACGGATATCTGAACTATGGCGATCCTTCTCAGTTAGCCTAAAAGGCTGACCTCTAAGCTTTTAAACAGAGGTGAGCTTCCCCTTTCTAGAAAGACGAGCTGCTATGCAACTCGCCCTTCTCTTGATGGTAACAAGCACTCTGAAGGGAGGAGAGGGATTTACATGCAAGTTCAGCTAGCATGAACTCATGCAGAGCCAATCTCTGAGTTTCCACTGTAGCTGAGCTGAACACGTACAAATCTCCCCCCCCCCCCCACCTGACCCCAGTGACCACTTCAAAGAATGCCGCTCTTTTGTTGACTCTTTCTTCTCGCGCTCCAGATTATAACAACCACTCAGGAACTTACCAATTCTCACTTTGCAGTGAAAAAGCTCCTCAGATGAGAGGCAACCCTTCGTTTGAACTTACTGGTTAAAAGTCTAGGAGTTTGTGCCAATATAACTGTCCTTCACTTCCAGATCAACAACAATGTTCGTCAAACCAACCTAACAAATGACAGATTTAAATTCTTCCTCCAGACACACACTTGGACTTTGGAGCAGCCAGTCTTTAAAGAAAGGCACTTTATTTTTGCCGTTATTTGATGACAGTGTTATTGTGTGAAGGCGAGCTTGCCAGAAATGCTGCATTCTTACACGAAGGCGCAAACACATGTACGTGTTATTAAAAAAAGCATGATCTTTTTGTGATTGCTGAATCCAGCATTACATTATATATGTTGTTGTACAGTATTTATTTGTCTGTTCTCTATTTTTAAAACATTTGATGAAGCTTTGAAGTGTCTCTACTCAACATGGTGCACCAATCAGACTTAAAAATGAAGGCACCCGTTAACAAAGGGAAACCGCTTGTCTCAGATCACTTCCCACAGAAGCAACAGGTGTCTGTATTTAATTTGGTGTTGGACCACGGTGTTCTATGAATATGTTGTTGCAAATATATTGAAGAAAATATATATAAAGAGCTTGCATTCATCAACTGATTCTTGTTTTTCTTATGATTGGCGTCTTCTTTTTCCACACTTCAAATGCTGTGTAGTTGGAGCCAAGCAAAGCAGGCTGCTGTAGAGAAAAATGCTCTAAAAACAACGGGTTACGCTTTAACTCACAAGAAGAAGGCAAAGAAGTGCAGTTTCCAATCTCAAATGACTCCTTTAAGTGTTATTTATCCCCTTGAAACGTGTTTTAACGATCAAATAAAGTCAGACAGTCGAAAGGAATGTCCCTGGCTAATGTCGAGAGTGCTGTCCAGAGTTGATGGAAACTGCTTTGCTTTGTAATCTGTAAATGTGATGTGGTGAGTTAGTGCCCTCCCTAATGAGATGTAATGAGAATTTGCCAGTGATTTGTCTCTCCTGAACTCAGTTTTCTAATCAAAATGCAAAAACAGCATCCAGTTGCTGCTATTACATGACGGCAGAGTGCAGTAGATGTGGAAAAGCGTTGTTAGTATAAAATCAGATGGGTGCAAATCTAAAACTACAAAGACTTTCTCTGTATAAACAATCAACCACAGGTTTTTTTCATGCATCCAGAACATGTTGTGGGCATGTTTGTGGCGGTTCATGAGCGTGCCAGCCACACATTTCTGACCAATGTGTTTTTCCAGCTAAAAGTTGTAAGACAAGAAAAAGGATGACTGGAAAATGAAGTTGATTTAAACTCTAGAAACTACGTTTAGCCACCAGAATGATGCAGAAGTTAATTACACTTCTAAAAGGTTCACTCACAGGCACCATTGCTGTGGTTTCCGAGCTCAAGACCTTTCCTTCTGTCTCTCTAGAGGATTAAATGACATTGAGACTACAAGTTCAAAGGTCACAGTAATGCAAATCCTCATCTCATTTAATTTAAATAGTCATCTCAGGTACTCTAAATCCTGTCAGGGATTTTTCTTTCATTCCTTTTGACCCAATAATAATATAAGTAAATGTGTCCAAATGAACAGGGATGTGCTGATGATGCCATCTGTCTGTCCCAGTACTGTTCTCACTGTTAAATGATCAGCAGGTCATTGTGTGGTTCTTAGGTTGACTACAGATGAGGACTAAGTGGAGGGAAGCCAGACACATGTTGACCACATTGCTGCTGCTGAATAACAGATAAATAACCGCAGATGTGTGGACTGAGGAGAACGCTGGAAAAGGCAAAACAGAAGGGAGGGGAACTGGGAAGAACATGAAAGAGAGGGGAGGTTTGAAACCCCCACAGCTAAGAGATGTTATCTGACATGCTGAATGAAGCAGGAGTTTTCTGGGCAGAGGCTTTTTAAAAGGTGAATTTTCTTCACGGCTTGTGCATCACATCGCTGAAGGAGTGTGTTGTGGTTACACAGAAGTTCAAGCTGCTTCACAGGAATGATTTCTCACCCAAAAACATACAAAACTGGGCCAACAGTCAAGGTCGTAACGCAAGATTTGTTTGGCACCTTCCTTTTCAAGCAGTGAGGGTGTTGTATGATGCATTTGTTTAGCTATAGCACCAGTGGATCAGGCCTGGTGCCAGTATTTGGTGGTTACAGATCTGTTTACGTTTGTAGGCTGGCAGGAACATGAGACTTCCTCTGCGTGTACTGTGGCTGGTTGACCTGCAACAGTGTGGCCCTTCATGTGCCTGCCTGCTCTCCTTACAAGCTCCCCCAATCCCAACCCCCAACAGCGATCACTTACAAAGAAAGGTAACGCCGCACAAACAAATATCAATTCACCCATCCATCCATCCATTTTCATCTGCTTTTCCGGAGTCGGGTCGCGGGGGCAGTAGCCTAAGGCGAGAGGCCCAGACTTCCCTCTCCCCAGCCACTTGGGCCAGCTCTTCTGGGGGAATCCCAAGGCGTTCCCTGGCCAAGTGAGAGACATAGTCCCTCCACAGGTGTCCTGGGTCTACCTTTAGGTCTCCCCCTGGTTGGACGTGCCCGGAAAACCTCACCAGGGAGGCGTCCAGGAGGCATCCTGACCAGATGCCCGAGCCATCTCAACTGGCTCCTCTCAATGTGGAGGAGCAGCGGGTCTACTCCGAGCCTCTCCCGAATGACCGAGCTTCTCACCCATAGTCCCTCTATTGTGTCCTGGGTCTTCCTTTAGGTCTCCTCCTGGTTGGATGTGCCCAGAAAACCTCACCAGAGAGGCATCCATAAGGCATCCTGACCAGACGCTCAAGCAACCTCTACTGGCTCTTCTCAAGCAGCGAGTCTACTCCAAGCCCCACCGGAATGACCCTATCTCTAAGGGAGAGCCCAGACACCCTGTGGAGAAAACTCATTTTGGCCGCTTGTATCTGCGATCTTGTTCTTTCGGTCACTACCACGACAGATAGGTACAGTCCCTGCATCACTGCAGATGCAGCACCAGTCTGTCTATTAATCTCATGCTCCATCTTTCCCTCATTTGTGAAAAAGACCCCAACCACTTGGGACAGGACCTCATCCCTGACCTAGAGAAGGCATTCTACCCTTTTTTTGGCTCAGAGAGAACAATTGTATTTAAAAAAGAAAGGGTATTACACAACCTTTAACATTTCCAGATGGAATAGTAGTAGTATTGACCAAAAACCTGCAATATCCAGTCCTATGCAAGTTTTCTGCCCTCTGCTGGAGGATCTGCAGGTGGTGAGGACCAATATTACTTGTCTTTCACTGTTATATTGTTGTATTATATTACACACAAAAAAATCTGTTTATTTTATTGATGCTTTATTAACATTAAACAATACATAGTTAAGTTTAAAAACTTTTTAAACAACTTTTTATTCTGTTAATATTTTAGGCATTACAACATTAGGATGTTTAAATAAAAGCAAAGTCATCACCATTACCAAAATATGAGCCGGGATAGAAACAAAGTCATCCAACTTTAAACCAGAATAGAATAATTAGGGTTAAGGCTACAAATAAACCAGTTTTAATTAGTTACTGGTGTTTTCAACACCCAACCAAATCATTTTATTAGCTTTAACCAAGCAGTTTTGTCACTTCGATGTAACCAGGTAGTCGTGGTTCCTAAACCTAGCCAACTAAACGTCTACACGCTTTTCTTTTTCATGCTCAGATAATTTCACTGTTTCCTATCAAACAGTTTTTTTCTGTCATATGCAGTTTGCTTAAACATAACCAAGAATTATTTGAAGCCTAATTTAAGAATAAATGAATAGTAAGAAAGAAATAAAATGAAGAGAGACATTGACATCTTGAATGGACATTCATCCCTTGGGGATACATATGTATATGGCTGGAACACAAACACACCAACTGACATCTCCTTTGCTACGTGTGCCTTGGTAAATGTTCTTGTTAGGCAAGTATGATATTGAGCATCATAGTCCCAACATCGGACATCAATTTCCCTAAAGGAGTCTGAATACCTTGCATTCCTTGGATAAACCAAACTACAAACCTTGGTTTGTTTACTCATGTCCAGTGGGAGTCTTAATTTTCTCCAACGTGCATTCTCTGTTGATAATATAATCAAAAGAAAATACAATACAATACCTTTGGACATGGGGGTGGAACGGCAGCCAGCCAGCCATAACAACATCAAACAGCCCCTAGCCTCCAGCACATACATGAAGCCAAGAACCTAGACCAAAAATATGATTGCTTCTTTTTTAAAGATAAGAATGCAGACAGGCCTGAAGGTTATTGCAAACAATTTATACTGGTAAGAGGCAGAAAATACCAGTGAAAGAACGAATCACAGCGAACAAATGGGAAGAAGAAGGTAGACTTAGACCAGGACATCAGTGAGTCTAGCAAAAATATCAAGCACATAAAAGTCTTATACAATTTCAAAACAAAAGTAAATTGGGTAAATTGTGCAAAAGAAGACATAATAATGTTTTTTTTTGTGTACTTGTCTTTAAGATGAATAATTCAAAAAGACTCAAGTGATGATCTGATGCAGAAACAACACATTGAAGACTGATGCTGAACATCACCTGCTGAGTAAGAAGCCCAAAAGAATGAAGAATTATCAAATTTAACTCCAAATGGGCTACTTGAATAAAGTTAAATACTGTCCTATTTGAGGTGAACGTGTTATATTTGCTCTAAAATCACCTTTATTAAGTTCTAGTACTTGGTTAGTCCCCGTCTGCCTTCAGAACTGCTTTAATTCGTCATCTCATAGATTCAACAGGGTGCTGGAAACATTTCTCAGAAGTCCTGGTTCATGATGACATGACAACATCACACATTTACATCCATGATGTGTGAATCTCCCATTCCACTTCATGCCAAAGGTTCTGGACTGAACTGAGATCGGGTGACAGTGGAGGCTGTAGGAGTCCAGTGAACTCATCATCGTGTTCAAGAAACCAGTTAGAGATGATTTGAGATTTGTAACCCTAACCCTAGCCCATTATCCTGCTCAAGTAACCACCAATGTTGCCCACCAAAAAGGACCCTAAACCTTGCAAAGGTTTTAAAGAGTGAAAATCAGTCAGATCAAGTGCATAGATTTGGTGTTTTCTCCTATAAATCGATTGCTATGCAGGATGACATGTCTGGAAAACAAAGATGCCGCAAACAGGAGGAAGTGAACTAAGCTAGAAGGTTTGTGTTTGCTCCGTCAACTCTTTTTAATTTCCTAAATGTCACTAACGATCTACCATTTGTGCCTTTGATTCACAAAGAGCATTTGGATCACTTGGTTTTACACCTCTGTGTGCATTTGGTCTGCAGGAAACTATTTGGTGAGTCACAGAATGCGTTCTTCCTGTTTTTTCCCCTGTGGTCTTGAAGATTCAGTGTAATTGCATATAAAATCACAGGAGGGGTTTCCAGCTTCACTAGCTGAAGGGTGTGCTGAAGGGCATTGATGTGCAACAGTATTCATTTGCATGGCTTGATCAGTTGAACCTATTTTAAGTTTGGTTGAGATTGCCTCCAAGCTGAAACTGATTCATAGTGGGAAGATGAGCTCCACTGTCAGAGGAAGTGCTGTTTGGTTCATAGCAACAGACGTAATCTCCAGTCTGTCGTCC